CTAATCAATGATGAAATTCGTTGCTAACGCTTTTAAAAGTCGATTTTATCGATTTGTTGTTGCAGCCCTAACTAGTGGCTCGTTTTAATTATAGTAGGCTGACAGGAAAGGGCGTATGAGAGAAGGGGAGAGCCACAGGTCGGATTCGAACCCGGGTTGGCCACTTCCTTTTTGCTGCAGTTTGTGTCTCTCAAGCAAATTAAATCTCAATATAAAACATTTTAGAAAGGTGGTACAGGAGCCAATCATTTTTGTAAGGCTCTGTTTGCCATTGTGAAAAGAACTTTTATCTTTTTTTTTATTATATACAGCCATTTTAAAAGGTCAAAGTAAAATTGAAACACGGGAATGAAGGTTGGACTCTGCACAAACCTGACAACACAATCTCAAAATGAGCAGGCAAGATGCAAAACATGAACTCAGACGTACCTCATACCCGTAGACAGCAGCCTCGTCGTCCACCGGCTCCCGCTGAACTATGGCGTCGGATTTAAAGCCGCCCTGCTCCCCATCACCCACCAGGATGTCGTAGTAGTCCTCCAACTCATCCAAAACGGCAAACTCTACCTTATTTTCCAGGTCTACAGCACTCTCCTCCAACTTGCTGCCTGCTGCGTTCCCAGCTCCGCTGCTACTCTCAGCAACCTCTAACAAACTTTCCATGTCTTGCATTTCACCATTGAGATGAGTTAAACAATCATCACTTCCTGTCTCTTGGCCCTCACCTGTATATAACACCTTCCTCTCTTTGCTACTGTTACTGCTAGTGCTGCTGCTGCTCTCAGTGAAGCTCACTCTGATCTTAACATCTCTAAGCTGCTTCAGGTCTGGCAGGAACTTGGTGACCTGAGGAGCATGACGGGCTGTTCTGGGGCACGTTGGGTTGGGACTAGCTTCATTGGTGTGGTGTGTAGAGAAAATAAGGGAGCCCTTGTTGATAAGCTCCTGTGTTGCTTCCCCATCCCCTGGGGTGTGCGTGTGTCCATCACCACCAGAGCTAACGTCCATTACCTCTGCGTCACTGGACGTTTGCAGGGGAGGTGGTGGAGGTGCTCTGCTCTGGTCTAGATCAAAATCATCAGGTGGCTCCAGAGGGAGAGGGGGGAGAACTTCATCTATATCCATGTTGCTTGCAAAAAAATATACCTAAACCTTATAGAAAACTGACAATTCATATAATCTTTGCAGATTCCCAAAAAGCAGAAGATCCTCCCTGTTTAGACCGCGTACCAGATGAGAATATGCTAAGCTGACTACATTGCTCTTTTCATTAATGCAGACAGCTGTCAGAATCACTGTCTCAATTATTGGAAATCACAATGCATTCAGCTTATTTTGGAACAGCGGCGCTGACCATGCTCCAATGCGGACATCTAAGAGATAAAAGGGGAAAATGACCACAGAGTATATGTCAGGTTTAAATGCATTTAGACATTCATTCCATTATATTCGTAATCTGCTAAAGCATGATTTGTCGGTTTGATACGGAAGAGGATTTGGGCCACTGAAAAAAATAAGTCTGACTTTAATCTCAGAATTCTGACAGCTAACAAACATGTTAGCATCAAGCCGTAGCCATCTCTGTTTTAGAGACAAAACTAGCTCTCTTGTTTTAATCACCTTCTGCTCCTCTATTAATGAAATAGCATCACCAGGGACCCCTCGGGCACGTAAAAGGTCTCCTAATTCCATCATTTTCCTCCAATGTGTTGCTGGCCCTCCCAAAAAACACATCTTTGTCAGTGAAGCTGAGAGTTCCCACATCTCTTCCTACATGGTGCTCATCTAAATTAAGATCCAACATTCAGAGATTTAAGTCAGAATTGTGAGATTGATGTCAGAATTGTGAGATTGATGTCAGAATTGTGAGATTGATGTCAGAATAATGAGATTAAAGTAAAAATTCTGAGATTAAAGTCAGAATTCCGATTTGTTTCCCATATTAAACTGAAATAATATTTAAAAATCTGTTAACCTTTTTTCCCGTGGCCCTAATCCTCTTCCGTAGTTTGATAATAATTGAATTAAAAAAAAAAAAATAAAACTCTCTTTAGTTTAAAATTATTAAGTGAGCATCCTTTCAGTCTGTAGCTGCTCGTTAGGCCTACACTGTAATGCTAGCGTCAATGCTAAGCGGCTAACAAGCTAACACTGACGTTTGAAAAGACACTTTGTGAACGATTAAAAAGCTTGATAAAACGCTGGTGATCTACTCACTAATAAGTGTGACAAACGTTTCTCTTCTTAGGATTCCACCACCCTTTAAAATGATTTTATTTCCCAGCAGCAGCCACACTGCTCCCGCGGCAGCAACGCCATCTTGAAAGGAAACCACGGCACAGATGGAGCTTTCACAAATCCCGCCCTCAAGAACCGGCGTTTTCCATGGTGATTGATTGGTCAACAGACCAATGGCTGCGTTCCCCATGCTGAGTGACGTAAGATTCATCCATTCAATAAACTCTATTGAATGGAGTATCCTCCAAAACTGATGCGAACAGTTTAAAACACCAGAGCAAACGAAAAAATATGTAAGCTTTATTTATTTTTTTATTGAAAATCCACCACACACAAAACAAAATTCCTATAACGTACTTCATCGTGCCAAAAATAACTATTAGTTTGTTAATTTGACCAGCAGATGTCGCTGTTGGTATGCTGTTTTAAAATTAGGTATATTTGTTAATTGCATACGTGAAACGTGTTATTTTTCACTTAAAAAGCTTGGATAACAGAAAAAAAAGATAAACAATACTTAATACATAAATATAAAGTAAACTGTCTTATTACTTTGGGTTTATAATGATGCATTAAAAAAGTTCTGTCTCCAGGGAGGAAAGATGATGGATCTCACACCTTCAGCTATTTCTAAAAGCAAATATTGGGTGCATAAGTTTGAATATACTGTGGACTTTCTCTTAATCCACACAAAGGCTGGAGCATACAGTTAAACCCTGACTTCATGTGGAAAAAGATTCCTTAGCATCTCTGAACACATGCTTTTTATAGCTATCAACATGCATCTGGTAGGATCTTTGACAACATTTAATGTCAGAAATGGTAGGGTATATTAAACAGGTTTAAACTGCTTTACTGACTTAATTAAAAAAACAACTATAAAAGTAATATATTTTTACTTAATATGAACCTATCAACTATTAAACCAGTTATTGATTAAATAAATGTCTCATTGGAACAATTGTGTAATCAACCTTTAGAATTAAGTAGGCATTCAATAATTTTGTAGATAGCACTCTTTTAGACAACGCTGCAACGCAACAATACCACAGGTAGTAGAAAAGACTATGCATTTCCTTCATCTTTTCTCCTTTTTCCTGTTTTTCCTTCCATGTACTACTGACATTGCAATGTCCTTATAATTTGCAATTCTCCCTGCATAATCATAATAAAGTTATTTGCATGCATACATAAAGCGGAACACTATGGTGATAGCCATGCTGCTCCACTCTGTTGGACTCTTTTTGGCATCAAGACAATTATTCTTATTTCCGTATTGCCACATAGGACACTGTAAAGAAAAAAAAAAAAACCTTAACCCAGTTGAATGTCCAATGGATCACATATAAGCAGGTTTTAAGGGACCATTATGTTGAGTAAATGACATCCTCAAAGCCCCATTGTGTCAGCCATATTGGAAATTTATGAAATGTTTTCTTAGGTCCTGCCTGTGGTGAGATAAAAACAACTCAACCAGATAAAACCAAGATGATTATGACAGGATAATAAGCCAGACATGTCAGAATGCTGACAAAACATCTGGTCAAATGATGCAGGATTGTTGACCTTGTAGTTAGAGAAGTGCACTTTTGCTATGAGAAGGTTGCAATTACCCAGTTCAATCCCCACAGCCTGCAGTCTGGGTCTCTGAGCAAAAACCGTAACCCCACACTGTTCACCAGGCGCCACACAATGGCAGCCCACTGCTCCCAAAGGGGATGAGTTAAATGCCGAGGTGAGTTTCTCCAGTGCGAGATCAATAAAGTTCAGTTACTATAAAAATGTGAGTTTATGTGGGAATCAGAGAAAACTCACTATAAATTCAAACTTCTGCCACTAATTTCTGCTCTCATACTTCTGAGATGTTATTTTTTTTTTATCATCATTGCTCCTGAACCAAAATTGTTTTAAATAAAAAAAATAAAAAAGATCTTAGTTAAAGTGACAGTCACCTTCTTTATCTAAATTTCAAATCAGCATGGAGAAAATAAATCACTTAGTTTCAAAGATTTCCCAAAAACAGTGGAGATCAACTCTGATGGGTTCGGTTTGAGTGGAATTATCCCTGTTGCTTTCATAGCCTGTAAAACACTTTTTATGCTGAAGAAAAACTAAAATAGGTCCTTTGATGCGAGATACCAACTTCTTAAAAATCACATTTTATCATTTGGAATTTAGAAATGACTCCACAATTAGTGAAACTAATTTGAACGAAAACATTTTCAACCATTCGGTAGCTTGAGTGTTTGGATGAAGCGTTTAACTTGTCAAATAGTTGGAAATTCACCCATAAACAACAGACAATGGCAAACGATTATCACCTGAAACAACTTGCATTCAAAATCTTTTGTTTTTGGATTCCCTAAGATGGCTTGAATACGCTAATGTAATCTAATCTAATGTAATAAATCCATCAATAAACAACACTTTTAACATTTAGTCCTAAAACTGAAAGAATTGTTGTTTTATTTAAGGTTAGAAAATCTGACTCCAAACAGATTCAATGTTTTCATGAAGATTTTATGATAACCAGAAAACAGCAGGTTAGACATTCCCGCATCCAAACAAGTGTGTTCTGTGACATGTAGATAAAACAATTTTATTCATAAAAATGTTATTGTCCTTTGGCATTTTCTCTCTAGATTATTACAGCTGTTTTTAAAGAAGCATTTTAAATTAAATTGATGACAGGTAGTTCATGTTTGCAGCTACAGGCCAGTCTTTCTGGGAAGAGCAGCTGCAGTCGATTGGCCGACGGAGGAAAAGCTGTTGCAGAAAAGGCACAGAGTTGGTCTCCTCTAACTCGTCTTCATGCCTGGAGGTTGAACCGAAAGGAATTGGTGCTCCATTTGCTTGTGTCAAAGTCGATCATTGTGCGCTCTGTGAAGGTGACGTTCCCCTCTGCATCTATCAGGATTATTGTGTTGGTCCTGGAAAAGAAGAAGAAAGACAAATTACGTCACCCAATAATGATCAGGCAGGGATCACACCGTACAGAAATAGTTTATTATAAAAACACAACTAAATTTATTTCTATATGTTTTCATGTCAGGAGCACAAAGTTACGGAAGAGAATTAGGGCCACTGGGAAAAAAAAAAAGTTAACTGATTTTTAAATTTTATTTCAGTTTATTATGGGAAAAAAATTAAGAATTCTGACTTTAATCTCAGAATTCTGACTTTTTTCTCAGAATTCTGGCTGAATTTTAACAATAAAAAAAGTCAGAATTCTGACTTTTTTCTCCAAATTCTGACTTTTTTCCCAGAACTCTGACTTTTTTCCTCAGAATTCTGACTTTTTTCTCCAAATTCTGACTTTTTTCCCAGAACTCTGACTTTTTTCCTCAGAATTCTGACTTTAATTTTAGAATTCTGACTGTTTTCTCAGAATTCTGACTTTATAGATAGGATGAGTCTTGAACTGAATTAACCTGTGTCAAGAGCCACAGATGCACCGACTGATGTAACTGGGAGAGAATACCGCAATTTATTATATTTTTCAAAATAAAAAAAAAATAAATAATTTTTTTTTATTTTATTTTTTTTCTTCTGTGCGGCCCGGTACCAAATGACCTGGTGGTTGGGGGCCGCTGCTATACACTACTGTTTATGCTCTAAAAACATTCTAAATGACTTCGTTTCGAGTAAATTCTGGACGCTACCCTCTTGGAATACATTGGACGTGCAGTATGGAGGAATATTGACACGTTTTTTGTGGACTTTTATGGACCTTTCTGCCTCGGGCACCATAGACCTCCATTATTTGAATGTCAGCAGACAGCAAGAAGCCTCCCAGATCTCCAGATGCATTTGAGATATCAAAAAAGTACTCCAGAGTGTTGTACAGCATGGGGGTGAGTAGAAAATGAAGGCTAATCATGTTTTGGGTGTACTATTCCTTTAAAGCAGGGTTGGATCATAAAGCATTATGCTAAACTTTATTGGGTGCTATGTTCCTTTTTTACATTGTTTATCCCCATGCAAACCTTTATAAAACAGCTTGATTTAGGGTTAACAAACTCAAGGAACTGCATTATTTATTTATTGTCATAGATTTTTAGATTTAATGTCAAATCATCACTAAAATAATCCTAACAAGCAATGGTTCTATGAACCGTCTGTGTGCTTACTGAGTTGCTCCAGTTCTTATGAAATATTGTCTTTAGAACAACTTCTGCAATTGAAGCAAATTGAAAATTGAATCTTGCAATGTTCTTTAAAAAAATAATAAAAACACACTTTAAAAAAACGAATAATTTACCTTCCACTCACATTTATACATCACTTTTTTTCTGTCACTGAATTCCGAGGTGTATGAACACTCTGGCTTCTGACCTAAAACCACTTTTTCAATCCTTTTTGCTTTGTGTGAAGAAATTTCAAATAAAAACTGTATTAAAATGTTTTTAAATTATATATATTTTTTCAATTTTAAATTTTTTAATGTTGATTAGTAACGGCAGCTGAGAGTGGCCTAGTGGGTAGGGCATAGAGCTTGGAATCAAGAAGTTTTGAGTTCAAGCCCCACTCCCAAAGACTGCCACTCTGGGAGCAAAACCCTTAACCCCGCACTGCTCCCCGGGCGCTAAAGAATGGCAGCCCACTGCTACACCAAGTGGATGGGTTAAGATGCAGAGAGTTCATTTCGTTGTTCTGTGCCTGTGACAGTGTAATGACAATAAAAAAGCTGAAAAACAGAACGTGGAATATTATAATGTGAGAAAGAACCCTCTAGTACCTGTTGATCTGAAATATAAATATACACCTTTGCCTGTTTAAAAGAAAGTAACAGGATTTCTGAAGTTTTTAATCAAGAGTTATAAGCAACATCAAGGAAAATTACAGCATATGGGGAAGAAATGCTGACTAGAAATTAATAGATCAGTCAGTTTTGTAATGTTCCTGAACTGAATGCATGGACCGCAAAACATCCCCTAAAAATGGGTTATAGTCTGGACACTCCTGCTCCAGAGACTCACTGCAGGGAACAAGAGATCCTGCAGTCAGTCCCATCATAGCAGGGTTGGAAAAAAAGTAGGAGGAAAAATAGAGAGATTTGTCAAAGGGAGGAGACACTGACCTTGTGCCATAATGAGGAGAGCGGACACATACGGCCGACAGAGCCTGGATCATGGACTGGCTGTAACCGTCACCCTGCTTCTCTTGAATTGGATCAGGTGTGTTTCTATGAAGCAAAATGACCAAACAGAAAAAAAACTCTAAGTGAAGGATTATTTTTTTTTTTACCTTCACTTGATAATTGTTCTACATACTACAAAAAAGACAAACAAAAAAACGTAATGCTTCAAACGTTTGACAATTAAAGGAAAAGTCCGGTCATATTCAGAATTCAAACTTCTGAAAGTATTTATTACATATTGTTCAATAAATGATAAGTGTTTTTAATTAAGAGTAATTTTCATTTGAATGTGCTTTACTGGAGGCATCCATGTTTGTCAAAGAATACTACTGCCAACTACCGGTTTGTGATGTCACAGTGCGGTATTGATGCTGTGTCTGGTGTTTGTCATAACGCGCTATTATCCAAGTCATCTTGAAAACATTCTTCTTTGAAATGTTGGCTACATATTACATGTGTTTTCTCTGGCGTTCCATGGCAAATCCTCCCTCTTCAAGTTGGCAATCCAACAACGAATCCGTCCATGGAGCATCAGGAATCGGAAAGATGAAATAAGAATTTTTTTTTTTACTTTTACCCGATGTATTACAACATCCAACTGCCATGCACGTGGGCATTGTCAGTTTAACTATAGCTCTCGTCAGAGGTGTCAAGAAACAAAGTACAAATACTTTGTTACTGTACTTAAGTACACTTTTTAGGTATCTATACTTTACTCCATTACTTATTTTTCTTTCTACTTCTTACTTTTACTCATTATATTTTCACACAAGTATCTTTTCTTTCTATTCCTTACATTTTTAAAACAAACCTTACTTGTTACTCTTGGCTTCGGTTTAATGTTTATAAGTATTTATTTCACCTCATGTGCGCCATCCAATGCAGATCATTGGCGCCATCCACATCTAGTGAAAACTAGTGTAATTGGATGAGTCATATAATGCAAACACTCATTGGTTAGCTAAAGGAAATCGTCAGAAGCAAACAGGTGTTCTTTAAACTGCTAATGTGAATTGTCTATGCCATGCTAGAATGTCGGATTCAGAAAAAGATAATCGGAGACCAACAAGACCTCCATCATCATTGGCCCTATCTCAAAGAATTTTTCAAAATAGTTGAAAAATTGAGCTTTCAGTTCATATAGTGGCATCTGGCTGTTTTTGTTAAAGGTTACTTTATACTTTAAGTAGTTTTTGGAGCACATACTTTTTCACTTTTACTTGAGTAAAGAGGTCAAGTTGATACTTCAACTTTTACCAGAGTGTTTTTAAACTGCCGTATCTATACTTCTACTTAAGTAACAAATATGTGTACTTTTGACAACACCGTCTTTCGCACTTTTTAATGGTGAAGTCCTCTGGAAATCTTAAATAATTGTTGTTGATTGCAGATGTGTTTAGTAGTTTGCGAAGCGGGGAGAATGGCGCTAGGCTTACCACACCGTGACATCACTGCCGGAAGATGTCAGGAGTGAGGTGTTACTTTATTTGGGCAAAAATGGCCGCTCCCAGACTCGGTGAATCCGATGAAAATTTGTTTTATTTTTTTACTGATCACAGCTAAATTCATTAAATCACCGCAAACATATTAGTGTTAGGTACAGATAATGATCCTTTGATCATTCCCTGCTGACTGGACTTTTCCTTTAACAAAAACAACACAACGTTTTAAACTTTTTTCAGTGTTTTTCATGCTGTGCGTTTGTTGTGTGTTGGTCACCCACAGCTCCTCATTATTAAGCACGTTGAGCAGCTCTTGGACGAGACCGTCGCAGGACAGGGACTGGTCGCTGACGATGCTGGTGAAGTGCTGCTTGCCTTTCAGCAGCTTCTTCCACGGGGTATCCAAGAGCGAATTACTTAAGCCATAGATCCCTGCTAAGGAGAAACAAGCACAACACAAAAAAAATCCACACTGTGTCAACCAATAGTCCTCTGGTGTCCTTTTGTCATGTGCTCCAACAAATAACCCAAAGTGAGAGCGACACCAACAGAAATGTCAAGGCAAACATGAACGGGCCAGAGGCCAGGAGCAGAGGTGGATTGGAAATGAATGGTTTCTACAGCAACCGTAATAAAAAAAAACAAAAAAAACGCAGACCTGGATTCAGACGGATGGGTTCAGAGCTGCCTTTGTTGCCATAGTAACACACCATGTCTTGTTTGGCTCTAGATGGGACACAGTATAACAGAAAATTAGACAAGTAGACGTATCAACGTCTAGGTGGAGGTAATGCAGTAGGTGTCTGCTGAAAGCACGGCGATGATAAAACCAACATGATGTTGCACTACAAGTTAGAAAACTGGAATCAATACGCTTGTATGACAAAGAAGAAGTAGAGGATAAGAGTACGGTAGGATTATAAATGTTGGGGGTGAACTAATGGCAGGTTTCAAAGAGGCACAACAGCATTTAGCCACAGTGGAGCATCTTTTGGACTGGTTTGTCGTAGTGAATGAATTCATTTAGAAAAATCTTCCCTACATCAAGGGCACCTGTCACAGATTTAGTACAGCAGGGAGAATCATAATTTATGACCAGATCCCTTTGAACTAGAAGGCCGGAGAACTTTTTGATGTGGTTTCATGGCAGCCGTAGCTGTGGCATCAGTCAGTCAGTCTGAAACACGGTGCAACACTGCTTCAACATCTAATGCCAGCACTGTTCCATGAGTGTGTGTGTACATTTGATTCACAGGCCATTTTAGTTGATGGTTATATCAATAATTGTTAATAACAATAATCCGATTAATTGTTTCAGCCCTGGGTTGCTCAGTGGAGCAGTAGGTAGCACTGTTACCTTGCAGCAAGAAGGTTATTGGTTCCATTCTTTCTGCATGGAGGTGCATATTCTCTCTGAGCATACGTGGGTTCTCTCCGGGTACTCCGGCTTCCTCCCACAGCTTAAAAACATGACTGTTAGGTTAATTATATTCTCTGAACTCTCCTTAGATGCAAATGTGTGAGTGTGTATGTTTGTCTCTGTGTTGCCTTCCGACAGACTAGCGACCTGTCCAGGGTGTACCCCGCCTCTCGCCCATTGACAGCTGGAGACAGGCACCAGCACCCCTTGTGACCTGAGCAGGGATAAAGCGTGATGGAAAATGGATGGATGGGTGTTTTAGCCCAAGATGTAGGGCTGCAACTAACGATTTTGATTAGATTAATCGATTTTGCAAACTTAATCTGTCAAAATCTATTTCGATGAAATGATTATTGGATAGCCAAAGGTTCCTTAAAGAAGATTTGTGATGAATAAACCAGGTGAAAAATTTTTTTTTCCACTTAAGGCGTTCTGGATGGAGCATTTTGATGGATGGAAACTTTTTTTTTTTCTTAAATACAAAATGTTTGATTATTTGTTTTACAATTTTTATATATAATTACTGCTCTGAGCGGGTTGACCTGTCAGCTAACGGCATGTTTTAAAGTCTCTTTACTCCAGTTAATGATTAATTGATAACTAAATTAGTTAATGATTATTTTAATAATTGATTAATCTGCTCAGAACTGCTGGATTTCATTAGATGCATTCATCAGAGTGGTGGTGCAGCTCTAGCCACTCAGATGACAGTTCTGGTCACGAGTAGCCATTTCTTGCTGAGATGAACAATTAAAAAAAACTGCATAGAAACAGTCTGCTCACAGAAATCTACAGGCGATTACTTTAATTCATCAACAGGAACAAATGGTTTTCATGTACAACTTGACATATAACAGGTGCAACAACTCCTGTTACTTTTTAACCTAAAAAAAAGTTTGATAGAAAACCTGCAAAACTATAAAAAACAGAATTTGAAAAAGAAAAAAAATGACCAGCATCCAGCCATGAGCTTCAATATCAGCAAAAGCACATTGCACCGAGGTAAATACAGCAGCATAGCCTGACAAAAGCGAATCGAACACTTCTGAGGGGAGCATGTTCTAAAGGCAGAGAAATGTGTCAGAGAAGAAAACAGCAGACAGACAGAGCAAATCTCATAGCCGCCAACTGACATTACAAAATCCTTCTGACAACAGCAATCTCCCGTCCTTAATATTGTTTCTTGTACCCAGAGCCGGCTAAACATCATAAATAAACAACACTGTCTGTGTTCCTATGGTGACGGTGAACACAGCAGCGGTAGACGGGGGTCGACACGAGCGATAGCACACACTGATACGACCAGGCATCGGCATTAGCCATGCAATAAACCTGAAGGGACATAAAAGAAAAAAAAACTACTTAAAATCAACAGCAAACATGCAAAAAGGAGGAGATTGTAGCTTTGTTCTCTGCATTTTGACCTGAACTAAAGACCCTCATGTCTGTGCTGTGAGTCAAATTGACAGAGGAGGAAGCAGCTGAAGGATTTATGGAGAGAGAGGCCATTTCTGCTATGTATAAGTGGCTGGAATATCGAGGGCCTCATCAGCAGGGCTTTGGGTTGATTTGAGCAGAGATGAGGGAGCAGCAGGGGATCAGGGCTACTGGGCGCAGAGAGACAGCGAAGAGGGACGAGTGAGAAAAAAAAAGTCCCTTTTTCTGAGACCTCAGGCAGCGAGGTAATCGGTATTCTGGCCTGGAGCTGCTCTAATGAAGAGCCCTCTATGTTGAGGCTGTAGAGCAATTTGCCAATCGCCAGCTGTGGTGCAGTTGCCTGGAGAGGCGTGGACGGGCTTTCGGCACAGACAATGATGGTCAGGCTTTTAGGCAAGGTCAAAAAGCTCTCTGAAGAATCATCGACTACATCTACAAATACAGACGAGCTGTAAAAGCCGGGGTGTTGGTATTATAATGCCGAGGGTCGGGGAATCTAGACCGGTTGATGAGTAAATTGATGGCTACAGAACATTGACCCTGAACATAGAGCCACAGCAATTAGATTAAATGTTATTCTTAGTTAGACTGACACGATTGAAGTCCAGCCAGACAAAAAAAAAAAAAAAAAAACAACTTAAAATATGTTACTAAACTTTAAAAATATAAACAAAGATGTTCTCCATCCAATCTGACTTTCTCTCTACACGTCTGACCAAGAGGCTTACAGCAAGTACTGCAGTTAGAGTCCAATAGATGCAAATCTTCAGGGTTTTTTTCTATAAAAATAAAAAAGTTCCTTCCTAGTTACAGCTAATCCATGTTTGCATATAACATAAAATGCTAACAACAGATAGAAGACTTCTGCAAAGCTCCACATTTACTTGGTCCACTGCTATAATTCACAGATTCTTCTCATTTTTGGTTTCTAAAGCCATCAGATGTCGTTCTCAGGACCTTTTAATGCACCATAAAACCACGAGGTCACATCTCTATGAAATGTGATGCTTGCCTGTCGCATTTCTGCAAAGCTTCATCGCTTCTGCTGGTGTCATGTGGTGCTTCATCAATATGAATACGGAATCATACAGTGGATAAAAAATCTTTTTGAGAAAAGTTGAGTAGATAGATTACTGCCCAACATTGAGTTTCCTGCATGAAACAATGACTTCAAAGACCTTTAAGTTTTTATTGTATGATCTTTTAAATTCTCTTCTTTGAAATCAAAGTGAATTTAATGTGTTAATTTTGTTTCATTTAAAAAATCTAAAAGAGAATTTAGAAATATGCAGCGATCAACGAATAGTTTCTATGAAGAGGCAGTGCTTTGTGCTTTCAAAAAGGAATTTTCAATGCTATAAAGCTCTTTAAAAGAAGAAAAGGATCCTAAAACAATCATTGAAGAGCTTCCTCTAACATTCATAGAGTTCATCCAATCCAATACTCTGGAATGCGTTTTATTTGCAGCACAAAGATGTTTCTATTTCAGCTGAAGCAAGTTTCTGCCAGCAAGTAAAATAAATGCTTTTAGGCAATAAGGTTCAGCTAATCTCTAACATTAAAAGTCTAAACCAGCCGCTCTCAACCTGGAAGAAGATAAAGGGAATTATTTCTCAGCACCTAAACAGCGGAGGAAAATATAATTTTTACTCTGCAGCAATTATCAGTTAAAATGGAAATAAAAATAGAAAGTTATCAGTCAGAAAAAATGGTGAACAATATGGAGGATTAAAATATTGAAGACTGCCATTAGAATATTTATGGTTTTAGCTTCTTGAATGTTGCCACGGATATAATCCAACATGGATAGAAATTCTGATTTAAAGTGATTTTAAGCGGAAATTCAAACTTTATGCAAACAATAAATAGATATCTTTCCATATTAGGTAGAAAGCCTTTAAACCAAAATGCCCAGAAAGTTCCATTTCAAAAGAACTCAAACTGTTGCTGCATTTTAAATCAAGCAGATCCAGAAAAATACTAAGAAATCCTGTAAATGCTAATATAACGTAGAGGCATTGTCTTTCCATGTGACGCCTTATTGATTAGGGGAATAAACATCCTTCTCCAGCGCTGCAGGGCTCTGCAGCAGGAAAGACATAATTCGCTAATGTTGGTGCTTATTTAAAAGATGAAGGCTTTCCTTCTCTTTCTGCAGGAAAAGCAGCTGTCAGGGTCAGAACAGATTTTTTTTTTTTTTTTACATAAAAGGACAGGAAAACAAGCGGGAGCAGCTAAACCTAAGGATAAGCAGCAGTTCTTTGTTTTTCTTTTCTAAATGTTCTCAGTACGAGTAATTTCTGCACAGGTTCTATTACATAAGGTGTAAGGAAAATTAGCATCCGTCCACAGATCCGCTGGGTGGAACTGGAGATGTGTTCATGAAAGAATTAAAATGAAATGAATTAACAAGCTGCAAAAAACAACTCTATCAGTTCATATCCAGCTAGAGGCCATGTTAGCAGGAAGCACACCTCCTGACACCAAACTCCTCACTGAATCCTCCCTCTCTTTCCTTTCTTACCCTTCAGGAAGCTATTGTGGTGCATTTGAACCCAGCGCCCAGCCTTTCCCTGGCAGGTAGTGATACTCAGCTGACTACAGGGACTTCCTGCTGTGCTAGCTTAGCGTTCACTGAACAAACTTTTAATTATTTGAATTTACATAATAAAACTGAGAACAATAAATGTAACTCAAGCCTCAATTTGAACAAAAAGACACATCAACAAATCAAAAGATTGCCTTATCTCAAGGTCTGCCTGCTGAACGCACTAATGGATCAAATGCATGAATGAATCGGGTCAAAAGGATCAGTCATTATTGATAGAAGAAAAAAAAGCAGTCCTAATATTTTTATGACCATAGAGATATATTCCATCCTATGACAATTAGAGAGCGCTGAATACATCAACAGGCCTATATTTTTGGTTGATACTAGATTTGTTTTCGGTATCAATATGGTATGATACCTGCATCCAATTCAAAGCACATGCGTTTGCCAACCTTTGTTAATTTTTCATTAAATGTATCATTCATTTTTTTTTTTTACTCAACTGTGACTTATTTAGCATTTTGTAATCATTTTTGTCAAGAATCATCCCCAAAACATCTGCAGCACATGTCTGGGGTTGGTTAGACTGATGTCAAAACAATCTGTAATGGTTGATCTCTAGAGGAGAGGAAGGAAACGTTTCCCTCACTTGAACTCAGCTGTAATGAGGTTGAAGCCGTTGTACATGTGGCCTTCTGCAGACACCTTCTTCAGGTAGGAGTAGCTGTCCACATCCTTATCCATAAGGTAGTTAGATACGAGAAACCCTGAAAAGTAAAAGCAAAGGAAATAATCATTTCATTCCAGACTACCACAGCCAATAAATGACAATATATATATATATATTTTTTTTTTCTTTTTTTTTTCAATTTCCTTTATTTAACCAGGTAAACCCTGTTGAGATCTGGATCTCATTTTCAAGGGGGACCTGTGCAGAGATCTGCAAATGCATTCAGTAATGATGTCCAGCTAGGTATGAGAAAAATCTCAGCTCTAGGTCTCTATAGTTGGTTTACATTGTTATTTAATTTCAGCCATAGACTTAATAAAAAAAAAATCATCAGTGAAAAAACTGTATTACACTGCCAAAAAATTTACTTAATAGATAAGTTAGATACATTTTTGTAGTGTGCAGGCCATGCTCATTTCAATTGATAATCTGAAAGGTTTAATGATAAAATTCCCTGTGAAAGACTGAGGATTTGGGATTTATTTGAGGGCATACATACATGTGGAAGCATAGAGGAAGAATTTAATGATTGGAAAAGACTATGGCCTAAAATAATAGTTCTTAAACCTGCTCCTCAAGTCCTCCTGCACTGCAAGCTTTAGATTTCTCTCTGTTGCAGCTCACCTGATTCAAATGGTTCTATGACCGCCTCTGCAGCCATCAAGTGTTTCAGAAATCTGTTAATAGAACTGTTATACAAGTCAGGGTAGTGGTAGTGAGGGGAAACCTGAAACATACTGGGGAGTGATACATAAGGACCAGGATTAAGGGACCACAGGGATAAAAGACACCAATGAAATGACGTAACGTTCATCAGACCAGTGCCAGCCTTTTCATAAACATCTGTAGATCTATGTGACAATAAATCCGCTGACTGCTGGAAATTATTTCTTGTACTTTTGCACAACTGACACCATTCTGGAAAGATCAGCTGTGCTGCTGCCATCAACACCTTTGTTTGTAGATGTTGGAGATCGGCCTGTTTTCCAGTGTAGTCCTGTTTGTTGTGTTGTTGACTAGTGGTAGCTGGCTTGTAGCTCGTCTGACTGGCTGCCTGTTTCTAGGGCCGGGCCGCCTTTTACAGTTGCTTTTTGTATCTCTGCTTCTGTCTCCTTGAACCCCAGTCGGCCTCAGCAGATGGCCGCTCACACTGAGCCTGGTTCTGCTGGAGGTTTCTTCCTGTTAAAAGGGAGTTTTTCCTCTCCACTGTTGCTACAAGCATGCTTAGTGTGAGGGATTGCTGAAGAGTCAATGAGTCGATGCAATCAACTGGTTTTCCTCAGATAGAAAAATTTAAATCAATTTGACTGTATGATTTGGTGGACTGTAAAGTGCCTTGAGATGATGTGTGTTGTGAACTGGCGCCATGTAAATAAACTGAATTAAACTGAAATAGAATTGAACTATTTAAAGTCATTCCTTCATGTATATAAAAAGCTTTCACATTTTTTGGATTAATATGGCGCTTTTGATGGTTTTTAAAAGAAAAAGCAGTGAAAATGAAGAAAGGAACACCGAAGAAAATCGAAATAAGTCATTTTTTCTTATAATAAGTGCATTTGTTCAGGAATTGAGGAGGTAAGGTAGACACTTTTCCAATGGAATAAAGAAATTTACATTTAAAATAAGATTTTATATGTCAAGTGTATTATCAGCTAATCATCTTATTTCAAAAGTAAAAATACTGATTCCATCGGCAAATCATCTTATTTACCTACTCAAATGAAGGGTTAATACACTTAATTTAAGAAACGTTGACTTATTTCTAGATTGTTTTTGCAGTAAAGGAAAGCTTTTTCACTTTCTAATCATAATAATTTGAAAAAAATAATTTTTGAATGGTAATGTATACATTCTACTGTATATATTATCATTTCTTTCACTGTAAATAACTGAAACAGTACTTTAATTGCAACTCCCCAACAGTCTGAGAAACAGCACCTGAAATACTGGTCATTCAATTTTGATATTTAATATTTCTGGAGTAAGCATGCTAACATTTGCTTAGCGCATCACATAACTGCTCGACAATAAAAAATAACCAATAGCAAGGAGGCTCACAGAAGCCTTACAATCTTTGCATTTAATCTGGTAGATATTTTACCTCCTAAAGTGATGCATGTTTCAACTGATGCAGAAGTAGCTTTCTTAGCCGGTATAACCTGATCCGGCAGATGCAGAAACTAATGATGGGACATTATACCGACTGCTGTAAGCTAAGGAATATTAAACCTACCTGAACATCACTGGTGTGTAACCTAAACATGGTCACACAATAGGGACATAAAACTGACTAAATGTTTTGTTTAATACCACATGCTAGTGAGCTCCAAACATATACGCATCAGTATTTTATTCTAGCATTAGAGAGGAAGTTGGCATAAGCTAAAGTTCAATCTCAAATGGATCGGATTGGTTTCAGGGCCCAAAGAATTCCTGTTGGGACATCTGATGATGTCCATAGAGCCTCTAAATGACACATGCTGGTTAACAGGAGCTTTGCGGCACAGCAGTTGATATGTACTCAGTAGATGTAATGATTCTGCTAAGGCAGGCTAACCTCTTCCTTGTGCATTAGGGTTCGGATGTCCTTCCATGTAGTTTGTGATGGCCGCCAGCTTTCCCCATTTGCTGATTCCCAGCCACGATCCTCCTTCTTTCCCATACTCTTGGTCCAGACCTGGTGGGAGGGATTAGTAGAATATTTAATCTGCAGTCTCCTAATGAGGATTTTATAATAATTTTATTTCACATACTGTCCATCATTAAGATCTGATCAACACGGAAAAATTAATTGATTAATTTTCAGACAGCAAAAGGTTAATTAAAGAAGATTTTTTTTGCTAAATTAAACCAGGTGAAACGTAAATCTTTTTATGTCTAAGTTCTGGATAGAGCATATCGACAGACGAAAAATAATTTTTTCTTAAATGCTACATGTTTTTATATCTTGTTTTACATTTTATTTATAATTGCTGCTCTAAATGGGTAACACTGTCAGCTTAAGACACGTTTTAGAGTCTCTACACTCCAGTTAACTATAAATCAATTACTAAATTCATTTACAATTATTTCAATAATTGATTAATCAAGATTAATCCAATTAATTGTTTCAGCCCGAATATAAACCTATGAAAAAAGTTGGTAATGTAATTGGTCAGAAACCTGCAATTTGTGCATCCCTGCTTTAGTAGACACTTTTTTATTAAAACCAAATCATACATTTTTGGTTTCATTTTAATAAAATTAAAAACAACAATTTAAACAAGTGAAGCTTGTTTAGCTTTAAACAAAGTTTGAAAATCATCTTAATTTGGCCTTAAATACTGTATGTTTTTATGTGTAGTACAGACCAATTAATAAAAACTAGACAAGTAATAACACAAGTATATTGAGGAAATTTGTACCCTTGAATGAAACACAGTCAGCCCACCAATCAATTAGCTTCTATCTTTCTGGATTCCTCTTCTCCACTTTGTCCTATTAAAGGTGAGTCTGTCTGCAGCCTTCCTGTTGATCAATTAAGACAGCTCCTCTCCACTGAGAGCTAAATGGTCCCAGTCCTCTGGGGGGTAAATAGCTGCACAGATCCCCCTGGGAGCTATTACTTATTTCCCTTCATGGTCTGTCTCCTCCTGGGTGTCTCCCCCACCCTTGCGCCAACCCTACAGATAAGGCAGGGCCATTTATTCCTGTCACATCGCATAAAAACAGGCATCAATTACGGAGCCGCTGGTGGAGTCCTGACCCCTCTATCAAAGCGGCGAGAGGAGATTGATGAACAACGAGGTTATGTCTGTGTTTCCTTCTTATGCAGGAGGAAAAAAGAAATAAAATACAATAATAAAAAAAAGAATCTGAAAATGATTGATTTTCTCTATTTGTCTGAAAAGTGCACCAGGGACCTGTAAATTGAATACAGTTTAAGTTAATGTGGGTGGCAATTGGAAGAAAACTACAGAGAAAAGTTAAGGACAAACTCTGCCTTGATTATTGGAAGCCAATTAGTAAGGAATGTAAAGGTGGTCAGTGATAAAAGGCTACAACATGGCGATCAAAATCCTGCAAGATTCAGCTGTACTGCACCGACTGGACTGCACCGACTTTAATGCACTGACTGGACTGCACCGACTGCACTGCACCGACTGTAATGCACCGACTGCACTGGAGCAACTGCAATGCACCAACTGCACTGGAGCAACTGCACTGGCGCACCTGTAATGCACCGACTACACTGGAGCAACTGCAATGCACTTACTGCACTGGAGCAACTGCAATGCACTTACTGCACTGGAGCAACTGCAATGCACTTACTGCACTGGAGCAACTGCAATGCACCGACTGCACTGCACCAACGGTAATGCACCGACTGCACTGGAACAACTGTAATGCACCGACTGCACTGCACTGACTTTAATGCACCGACTGGACTGCAGCGACTGTAATGCACCGACTGCACTGGAGCAACTGTAATGCACCGACTGCACTGGAGCACCTGTAATGCACCGACTGCACTGGAGCAACGGTAATGCACCGATGGTAATGCACCGACTGCACTGGAACAACTGTAATGCACCGACTGCACTGGAGCACCTGTAATGCACCCACTGCACTGCACCGACTGCACTGCACCGACTGTACTGAACCGATTGTACTGCACCAACGGTAATGCACCGACTGCACTGCAACAACTGTAATGCACCGACTGCACTTAACCGACTGCACTGCACCGAATGTACTGCACCGACTGGACAGCAGCGACTGCAATGCAGCGACTGGACAGCAGCGACTGTAATGCACCGACTGTAATGCACCGACTGCACTGGAGCAACTGCAATGCACCGACTGCACTGCACCAACGGTAATGCACCGATGGTAATGCACCGACTGCACTGCAACAACTGTAATGCACCGACTGCACTGAACCGACTGCACTGCACTGAATGTACTGCACCGACTGGACAGCAGCGACTGCAATGCACCGACTGGACTGCAGCGACTGTAATGCACCGACTGTAATGCACCGACTGTAATGCACCGACTGGACTGCACCGACTTACCGCTGAGGATTTCATTGTTGGTCCCCCAGAAGTCTGCAGCTTTGGACGGTCTGTTGTAAAACTCATCTCTGTTTGCAGCCAAAATCAGCCTGAGGAGAGGAATAGAGAAGCCAGGGGAGTTATTTTAACAGATTTGGTCAAACTTAATTAAGTTTATATATCAAGTCAAACTAAAATTTTCCATATTTCCATAATTAAATTTTATCATCATATGAAAATTAATCTAATTTAGTTGAAAACCAAAAGAAACTGTTGATTTCCTTAAAATTCTGTCACATGTATGAGAAAATGTATCTCATTCTGCCGTTGACCTGTGTTAGCTGTAGCTTTCTGGATTGGATTAATCAAAGACATTAGCAGTTGAATAATTTAATCCCTTAACAAACAGCGGGCTCTTTAGTGTGTGTTTAGAAACCGCCACATGAGCTTTGCACCGCCTCACCACGCTGACCACTGGCTTTGGAAGGCATCCCATTCCTCGACCAGCATCTGTCACAAGTCAGCCATTATGATTGTGTTGGTCACTGTCGCACAGAGAGCACGCCTGAGGCGACCCCCGCAAAGTTTAATGGGGTTAGAGGGAAAAGTTCAGTCTCTAAGGGGGAGATATGAGATTGCAACTGGTTGCAAAATATCACATCATGACATGTTTTCCTTTCACCCAGATTGCCTGCAAAAATAAAGCACACATCCCCTCTTTCTTAGCCCATTATCTATTTAGAAACAATTTTGACTGAACTTGAGGTGAAATAAACACATTTTCAAGATTCATTGTTAAGACAAAGGAATTATTAATTAAACTTCAGTTTTCTAATTTGTTGGGCTAAATTTATATGTCAAACACGTATTAGACACAGAGATATGATTGTAACAGAGAAACATCACATTTAGATAGGAAAGGGATCTAAAATGTATGCCAAAATGAATGTTTCTATTGATTATTTAAAGATCTTGTGGAGTAAATAACCACTACTGACGAGTCCTTTTATTCTCTGTTGGACTTTACAAACACACCATGACTGCAGCACAGATATAAATGGATGAATGGTGATGTGAACAGTCTGAACGGACATGTGAACGGGTTTGCAATAAATCTTTTGAATGGGATTGGCAGAGTGTGCAAGCAGGTTAAGCACAGCGCTGAACTTTGACCTTTGTTATCATTCAGACACACACAGTGAGTAATGAGGCCATTATGTTTATGTCAGAAACGATTGACTATGCAGCTCCAGCCTTTACGCACTACTAGCATGCCCCCCACAGTGGATGTACTTTAACCAGCATTACTGTTAAATCTGCATAAAAGCTTTTTAAGAGAAATATGAGAATATTGCAGAATAAATCAGACTGCCACTCTTTGTCCCTGAGCAAAAGACCCTTAAACGCCACACCGCTCCCCGGGTGCCGCACAGTGGCAGCCCACAGCTCCCCACAGGGATGGGTTAAATGTAGAGGGTTAATTTCGTTGTTCTGCACTTGTGACAGTGTAATGACAATAAAAGTTGGAAAATAAATAAATATATAAAAAGAAATAAATAAATCCCATGTTCAGAAATTATTGTTTTAAGTGAAAATCACAGGTAAAGTGATTCGCTTTACAATTAAGACTTAGACTTCCATAGAGAGTTAGGCTTAGGCAACTTTTATTGTTGTTTTGTATACACAGAGTGTCTGAAAAGCTGTACTAAATTTGGTTTTGTAAACAGTAAGTGAACATTTCCATTCCATAAAGTGCAGCAGTGATCAAATGTAAACAGTGTGGAGATTTTTTCATGTATTCATGTATTCTTCATTCAAATACATGTAACTAAAGCAATTAAGTTAGAGCTTTTAGTCAATTCTAACAGGTAATCCCATCTATTTTCTAATTTAATTTTCTTGGGGAATAAATGCACAACATCCTCCCCTGTAAATTTAATTACATTTTTGGGTAAAATATGCATTGTCAGACTTCATAAGTGTAGTTATCAAACTGCATTAAATATGCCCTAAAATGCGCCTCATTTCATCAGTATTAATCGGCTGTTTATTCCGCTCTCAGACGCAATTTCCCCTCCGCTATTGAGCAGCATTAATCTGTCTGTTAAAGTTTCAGTCTCGGTCTGTTGAGGTAAGCAGGGAGAAAGTAGAGCCCTGATTGGATGACGCTCCAAATTATGTCACTTCCAGTGAGGCTAAACCTTTTAGGGCATCTATGGAGCAGGATCATTGAGTCCAGCGACAAACAGATGTTACCACACCATGGTATTTATTCAATGAGTTTCTAAAATAGCAAACATCCAAGAGCCTTTACCACAAAAAAAGAATACCTGTTTTTTTTTTTACTTTTTCTTTTTTCTGTACTGATGTGATTTTCTATTTTCAGAGCTGTTAAACATATTCATTTTTATTACTAAAGTAGAAGTAGAAATCCTATTGTTTTAACTTCAGTTTTTTTACTCATGTAAAAATACCATTTTTATAACTACTTAAAGTATAAAACTAAAAATAATGCAGGAAAATGTTAATGAAGATGCTTTACTGCACTAGCCTTTGACAGGAACATTTTTCTACAATTCTGGAAGATAATTTCCTTAAGACTTAATTTTCTTAATTTTATAACTAATGGTAACAGTTTCAAATCTAAATTTGCATCATCAGGAAAATATAATTTTTGGTATGTGGTGAAAAACAATTTGGTGCGACAGTGGTGTAGGATGTAGGAGTTTTCCCTGAAATGGAAGGATTTACGGTTCAGGCCCTAATTGTCTGAATAAAACAAATTATTTTGATGTTTTTTTTTATTTTTTTTCTTAACCAACAGGCAAAAACGAACATGAGCTTAAATGAAACAAAACTAATGACTTTATTTTGAAAATGTAAGGAGTAGAAAGTAGAGATAGCTGCAAAAGAAAAAAAAAATCCAAGGAGTAGAAGTAAAAAGTTGTCCCAAAAAATGACTCCAATAAAGTATAGATAGACAGAATTGCTACATAAATAAGGTAAAGAAGTATTTGTACTTTGTAACTTGACACCTCTGTCTATTTTTGATTGGCTAAGAATAGGCAATCTATCACTCTAAGCAGTGATAGATTTAAAGGTTGCTCTCTGTTTGCTGACATGTTCACCTGCAAACACTCAGGATGAGTCCAAGTCAATGAAAAAAATCTGAATAGCACAGGATTCACTTTTTAAAGCACTTCTCTCACGCCTGTATGCAAAAAAAGGAGATACGTGTTTTAAAAAAAACATTTTAGTGGCCGGTACAGTCATGAAACTTGAGCATATCGGCTTAAATTACAGCATAGCTGGTAAACATTTGGGGAAAACCTGAATCTTTCTTTAATCAATATTGATAACACAGCCCTATTAACCACCAACAACTGGTAAGGAGTGTAACAGCCTTATTGAGGGTTGTAGATTTGTATATATGTAAATTGGTATTTGTATTGTTGTAAACTTTTAACTTGTATTCAAACCTAATAGGCTTTTATTCCCGCAGATGAAACATCTGATGTCATATCTATGTTTGTACGAGCTGGGAAAAAAAAGGAACAAATACAAACCTTAAATCCATTGCTACTTATTGACTTACATTTAAAAAATTCAAATATTCTGTGCATATATCTTTATAGATGGTCATCTTACTCCATATTTCAAAAACTAAACACCAGCTGAATGTTATGCCTGAGCTAACCTGAGGTCCGCTGATAAATCCTAAAGGATAGTAGCTGAAAAAAAAGACCAAACTATGGTAATAGGGGTTCATCAAAGGCTAATGACAGCCTCTCGCAACCACACCATGTGAGCCACCACTGCTACTGGAAACAAAGCAAACACTAATGAAGCTACATAGGGTAGAGCATCTGCTCCTGGTTCCTAAGGGGTAGATCCCATGGAAGCATCTCTATTCACAGTGTCAGGCAGCCAGCTGTATCCGGTTGCAGCGCGATGGGAAACAGAGGAGGATCAAAACAAAGCTGGAATTCAGCTAACGTTTATTCTTTTCTGTTCAGCAAACAGAGGTTTTGTGAGACATCCCTCGCAGTTTTTACAAGAGGAGAGCCACTCTGGTGAACTTATTTATACTGCAGATGCATTGAGTTTTCCTGATAGCCCAGAATTTATTTTCTTTACTTTAAACTCAGAAAGGCATTATTACAAATGAGTCATCTGAGCACACTGAACATAGCCCTGGAGATCTGGATGCATTTCAAAACGAAGAACTGGGAGGTGCTAGTAGGGTGAAGGATTAGCAAAAGCTTTCTGTTTACCGAAAATATCTTTGGAAGATATTTATTCAAAAATCCAATTCAATTCAGTTTATTTCTATAGCGCCAATTCACAACACATGTCATCTCAAGGAACTTTCCAGTTCACCAGATCATACAGTCAAATTGATTCAAAGTTTTCTATCTGAGGAAAACCAGTTGATTGCATCGACTCATTGACTCAAAGGCAGAAGTCCTCGCCTATTCAGCCAGGCCAACAATTCCCTATAACGACCCCGGTTTCAGAAACTTATGGGGCATTTCATGCAAACAAAAGAAGCCAAACGATCCCCATTGCCAAGGGGTGGACCCCTTCGTCCATTTCAATTTGCATAATCTTCAACAACATGTCTCTGTTTATTGGAAATCAGAAGTGTTTCAACTTTTTTTTAAAACTCTGTAATATAATAGGTTTCAGTTTTTTATATCTTATAAATATGATTAATAAAGTATAAGAAATCATGTTTCAGTTAATCCAGTCAGCATTTAATACAGATCATGCAATACATCCTCATAATATAATGATGCAATATATTTTTCCATCCACCCATTTTCTGACACGCTTAATCCCAAGTGGGGTCGCGAGGGGTACCGGTGCCTATCTCCAGCAGTCTACGGGTGAGAGGCGGGGTACACCCTGGACAGGTCGCCAGTCCATCGCAGGGCAACACAGAGACAAACAGGACAAACAACGATTCACACACACACTCACACCTAAGGGGACTTTATAGAGGCCAAATAACCTAACAGTCATGCTTTTGGACTGTGGGAGGAAGCCGGAGTACCCAGAGAGAACCTACGCCTGCTCAGGGAGCACATGCAAACTCCATGCAGAAAGA